GCCGTTGGGAAACCCTTATCAAGGACTCTCCAACAGTCAGGCAGGTCCAACCCCGACTTGACTTTCTGCAAGCATCAGCAAACAAAAGCGGAAGGCTCACTCCAGCACCTCACTCTTAATATTTTTCCTTGGACAGTGGGCTGAAATGGGTTGAACCGGGATTCAATAAAATGCTTATTACTTAATAATATTTATAAACCTTTTTGAGTGAAGAAAAAACTATTAATAGAAACATAGTTTCTTTTAAATTTTATTATAATGTAACTTGTACTTTTAAAAGGCCTTTAAATACAACTTAAATAAGTAAATGAGAATTCCTTTAAATATTTTTAGTAACTTTTTTTATATTTATAAAATATATTTGTAAATGCTTGCCGTTCATAAAATCCAGATTAAGATGTTTTTCTTGTACATTTTACATCCTTAAAAAGTAGAATTCAATAGAGTTGGTGAATTTATATTTATTTTCCTAAAGCAAAGGTCAATGCTTGGCAATAAATTTCTTTCGAAGGCGTGTCCTGAAAAAAAGGAGGACAAAATGCAAATGGCATTTGTGCGTGTGTCGTAGAGTGTGGCCTGAAATTTCAGTCAATTAAATGAAAATAAATGAATAATTGATAGTTTTCATGGCTCTTTTCCAACTCCACCTTGAACTAAACCTTGGTCAAATGTAATTAGGGGAAGAGTGTACAGGCACAGTCAGTGGAAGAATGTCATTTGAATAATTTAAACTAGTAGACGCGTTCGGCGTTCGATTGCCAGACACAGGACATCAGGGACATGGTTGGGGCGGTGGGGGGCGTGGCTTGGTGGATACTGCTCCTGACCGGAGCCACAATGACGTTAATGACAGTGACGAGCGGTTGTTTGCCTCAGTTCTCGACCAAACATTCGGCGCAAACAAACAAACAAACAAATGCACGCACGTACTCCAGGCGACACACACTCACACTCACTCATAAAAAACAATCAAAATGCAAAACGGAACCAGGCAGACGACACTCCATGGGGAGAGTGTCCATGTGTGTGTCTACACTGAGAGAAATGTGATGCTTAAGATTGTTCTGGTGAGAGGAATTAATAAGAAATAGGGGTCTGAAGTCAATCAGGTGGGGAAAAACTTTGATGTTTTAGTCTTTGTGACTGTTATTTCCTTTTACATTATTAAAAGTAGTTATTGTGTTTATACCATTAAGCCGTTAATTATTAAAAATGTTGTATATGTACCTACTTATATTAATTATTATTTTTATTATTGTTAAGAATAGCCTTAACACAAATAATCTTATTTTCTGCTATGCAAATGTTTCTCATTAAAAAAAGTTTAAGCTAGAATAAATCCAAAATTTGGTTTTTTAATCCCACCATCTTTTTTGCTCAGTGCACGTGCGTGAGCCTTGCACCAGGAGGATCAACGACAAACACAAATGGCTCCTGATTGCAGGCAGGAAGCAACAGCTAAGGGGATATGGTGGAATGGACCGGGGAGGGGAGAGGGGGTTGGGCTTCTACGTCTGTCTGGCTATGCGACTAGAATTCAACATTTTGCCGCCATTAAAATCAAATTGCACTTTCGTGCAGCACAGGCCAGGATACTAAGCCAGAATCAGGAGGAAGTACAAAGTGGGCAGGGGGGTGGGGTGGGGTGGCAACCGGGCGGAGGTCACGAGCCGCGTCAACGTTTTTGGCAATTTCAGCAAAATATTCTTCTCGTTCTTCCGTCGCTTCGCTTTTTTTATGATTAATAAAAGCAAATGTAAATAGTCGCAAATAAAAGGCAGCTAAACGAAATGAAAGCAAGCGTTGCACAGGCGACCTTCGGTGGGGTGGTGGTGCAGGTGGTTGCAGTGGGTGGGTGGGAATGACGACCGACCCTTCTCCTCTCTGCCTCCCCCGCTTCACCCCACAAACTTTCGCTTAATTTCTATTAGCATTGCTGTCGCTTCGTTTTCATTGCTGCGGCACGCTCCGCAGGTTGCTGAGGTTACCCAAGGGGTTGGTGGGGTTGGAAAACTTGGTGCAGGGGTGGAAAAGTGGGTGGCGGGGTGGAAGGGTGGCCGGTGGCTGGTGGCTGAGGGAATGCAACTGTCTGCCCCGGCTTGATTGTTTGTATTTCTCATGGCACTCGATGTCAGTCAAAATCGCTTCGTTTCCACCCACTCCCAAACTTCAAACAGTCAAACTTCCATAGCTCGAACAACTAAATGTCGCTAAGAGCGGTTTTTCTTTCGAGAATATTGCTGGTATGGCATTTAATGGGACAAAGAACGCTTTCAGTTTATGAAAATAATGAGTCATAAGATTCAATCTTATTAAATAACCAACAAAAAGCAAGTTACATTTGAATTCGCCAATTTTAGGGAATATGTTTAAACAGCCCTTTAATGTTTTCTGGTTAAAGATTTGAATTACTGAATTTTTTGTCCACTAAAAACTTCTACATTTAGAATTTTCTTCAACGAAGTTTATTTTGAGCTTACTTTAAAAATTACGTTCATGAGACGTCTTAAGAAAAGTCTGTGAAGTTTAGCCATTAAACGCTATTGCCACACAATTTTGCGAAAATTGCGAAAAATGTAACTTAGCGAACTTCGACTGTAGATCCATTCCAATTGTAACCCCGAAAAAGTATGCATCACCCAACCCACAAATTCGTGAACCCACCCACTTTTGTACTGTTGTTTGTTTTACAACGTTTTTAACTTGTTTGCAGGGATTAGGTAAGCAACTCAAACATGAACGAGTGCCCAGGACTTTGCCAGGATGCAATGCGAACTCATAAAAATAGACAAAAGACAGTGCCTGCCAATTTTGAGCTGGAAAATGATGGGGCAACTTGGGGCATGCCCCCCACACCGGTTGCCATAGACTGATTTCCATTCGGCAACCGTTGCCAACATTAAATGCATCGAATTACATTTTCTATTAACCAACTTTAAGGGGGGAGTTTGTTTGGGATCGTGTGGCTACTTTGTGTGTGGAAAAGGGGAGTGGGGAGGGGAGAAGGGGAAAGCTTAAGGGGCAGAAAAGGGGGTGGTGTTGTACCAGCCCTGAGCGAATGTTGCTCGTTTGTTTGCTGCTTGTTTTACAATTCGCTTTTTTAACGCTTTCGCGCTGTGATTCCTTCGTCCTGCCAGCGGGTCCTTGACATTGTTGTGCGGCGCCTTGAACCTTTTGCCGTCCTTCTATCCCCCCTCACCCCCTCTCCAGCTCCCCCTGCTAACCCGTCTTGATTGCACAAGTTTTTGTGCTGCGCTTTGGCTAAGAAGCCGCTGGCTGCACGCCGTTTAGACCTACTCCCCCATCTCCCTTTTTCTGGCTTTAAGTTATGAAAAGTTTTGTCGTTGTTTTTCCTGCCCGGCTGCTTGGCTTTCTTTCCTGCTGCTGTTTTCTCTTCTTTTCTGTTGAGGTTTTTTCCACGTATTTGGTTCCTCTTTAAGCGGACATTAATCAAAGTTTTTCGTTGGGCTTAGTCGAAGTTTGAGGGCATTTATAAGGCAATTGTGGAGCTCGTTTTGTTGGCCACGACAGGTGTGTGGGTGCCGGCTTCTTGGCCCGTTTCTTTAAGGGCTGCATTGGACATTGAAGCCATATGGCATTAGGGCCAAGTATTCAGGAAGCACGCTGAGAAAAATGGAGGCTTTGAAAAGAAAAAGCTAAATAAATACTGACTTTTTATAGCAAACACAATAAAAGAATATTGATAGTTGATCCCATAAATATTAAATTTTCAATAAGCTATCACAATATCAATATTAAATTATTTTAAGGACAAATTTCTAGTTCTTGTTTTATGTAAATAAAACATTAAAAACTGAGATTCAATTAAACACAGCAGTAAGCTTTGATTAGTAATAACATCTTACTAAAATGAATTATTAAGATAGGGCTAAGGGAATCTCTAATTGGTTTCAGAATAAACAATCGTCGTTTATTAGAAACTGCTTTTAACTAATATTAATGACGATATTTAATAGTTGGAAAACTAATTAAGGCAAGGCTTCATCGTTTCCGTTCCCAATCAATATTTGTTCTCAGTTAATCCAGGCCTTTTTCCGCAGTGCAGCTGGACTAGCCTGTCAAACAAAAGTCTCCAAAAATTCCTGAAAACTTTCCCGTCGCCAGAACTGACCAGAGTTCTGGCTTCCAACTCCTGCTCCTCGTGACTGGTGACTCCTATTTTTGGTCTCGACCAGAGCTTCCAAGTCAAACAGCAGGGACAGGAGAAGTAAGCTGCAAGACATTCGAAAGAGCCGACTGTCTGAAGGTTACCGCACACTCACACAATGCCTAATTGTCTTTGGGCTCGACTATGTCTGGCCGACCGGCCCCTACCCCCTCTACCCCCTCCCGCTCTCGCCCCCGCGGGGCCTGTCTGAGTGACTTATGTCTGGCTTTAGAGAACTTTTTTGCAGCATACAATGTTGCATTGCAAATTGAAACACGCGACGCTGCGCGATGCGGAGCATTGAAAAAAAAGAAGAGAATTTCCCAGACACACACACACACACATAACTACAGGCATATGCATAAATAATAATGCACGAGAATACTTTAAGTGCAGGCGTCTGCTAGGCTCAAAGCCCCGATTCTCTGTTATATTCCCGTTGCCGTTTTTCCGTTTTCCCTGCCCGCATCCCCTGCCCCCTTCCATCTGCAAAACCCTTCACTCGTCTAGCCGTCTGCTCTCGCTTTGGGCTGTCCAGTTTTTCCAAGGGGGGGGGGGGTAGCTGTGGAGGTGGGCGGGAGTGGGTGTTTTGTGTGCACTTCAGCTCGAAAGTGTCTGCTGCATTTACCCTTGAAAATGTTGCCGCTGCAGACTCCGCTGCACGCGTTGCACGTTGCACGTTGCACATTGCCCGTTGCAAATGAGTTCAATACACTTGGCATAAACACAAACATTACTGGGAAATCCACTCATCGCATGGGGGACTTTTCCCACTGCGCCGGCGTCATTTTCCCAACTAATAATGCGCTCTCGAATTCTGTCGCTCTTTCAGGTTTTCACCGACCATTTCCGAAGCGAGACGAGCGGAGCCAAAACGAGTGTGTTTATTTAACACACTTCCTCGTTGCGAAAGCCTTCAGTTCGTGTCTGCTGCTCGCGAAGTGCGCGCCACAGTGAAGAGGGAAAGCGGAAGCGGAAACGGAAACGAGTGCGCAACCGAGAACGGAAACGGAAACGAAGGAACATGTGTGTGTGACGGGACTGATCGCGCTGTTCCCCAAAAACAAAATAAAAGATCGCTCAATGCCAAGTAAAAGATTGCTCAATTAGTGAACTAGTGAACAACGCCAGAAACAAATCAGTGACTAAAACTGCGCCATCAAAATAAACAAATACTTTAGCGCGGACTTAAGCCAGGCCAAAAGGCAGGCAGGCAACATGTGTGCCCCGGGGAACCTCAATCGGCTCCTCAATCGCCCCAGCAGCCTCACAGCTCTGCTCCTCGTCCTGGTCGCCCAAGCCATCCACGTGGAATACGCCCGGGCGGACTATGAGAACACCTGGAACTTATATTACGAGCCGCCCTGCTGCACGGGCTCATCTGCCGGCCATCATCTGCGCCACCACAAAGGTAAGTCCCTCCAGTGTATTTCATCCCAGAGTTTCCCGCAGTCAAGGTAAGTGAGTGGCCAGCCAGTCCCGACTAATTTGTGGCCGGATTAGGGAGGGTTTATGCAGCAAGTAAATTTAGTTTGACTAGGCACTGCACTGAGAAAAAAGGTGCTAAGTTCGGAAGGAGTCTTACAAGAAAAGTGAAGTTCATTCTATGTGGTTTGTTAATTTGGAAAACTCAGTGTTAACTGCTTTCTAACATTTGTGATTTTACTAGTCAAGTCTTACTTATCAATTTTAGATCCATTTAGGTTAAAAAAAACAGTAGGATTGATTACAAAATTCTTATTGTATAAATGGTTTACAAAACTAAGCAATTATAGTACCCAATACCTTTTTATACAAGAAGGGGTATTATTCTTTGACTTACAATAGTCAGAGTTATGTTTTTATAATTTTAAGACAGAAAACTTTTGAGATATCAACACAAAGAAGTCTAGAATTTTCAAACTTGATTCATCGATGAGCTTTATTGAGTTTAAAATAATATGTATTTTTAAAATTTTAAGTCATAGCAAAAATATTGGCTTTAAAGAATATGGGTTCTAGTTCTTACAAACTTACATTTTTATTTGGAAACTTTAACACCATATTTCAAGAAATGTTTCGCCCTTGAAATAAGATATTCTCTCTTAGTGCCGAAACATGGGGAAATGCGAAATACAAATAGAAGAGCCTAAACGTTTTCTCCATTTTGTTGGGCCTCGCATTCCCGGCCAGCTAAGCCCCGGCATACAAAACTATTCACAACAATGGGCTGAGGGCCGGGATCGAAGTTTGGGAAATAAGTCAACAGCTTACATAGCCGCGAATGCCAAGAAGCCGAAATAGATGTGGGTGTGTGTGTGCGGGGTTTCCCTTTTTATGGCCAAAAGGAATAATTTTCACTTTAAGAGGATTTGCCGCCCACGACTCCTTCTACTTTTCTTGATTTGCCATTTCGCTCCACTTCCGTCGGCGACGTCTGTTATCCTTTTTCACCCGACTCTCTGGCCATTTGGCACCCAGAACTCGTTCGCATTGCTATTGTTTTGCCATTGTTTTATTTCATCGGCAAGACATTTCTCTTCCGTATTGTGTGAATCGGATAGGGTTTTTCGGGGGCGGGGAGGGGAACGGAAAATGCGGGGGTTCTGCGGAACTTATAGACTCATTCGCGCGCAGCAGCCTGTGCTTCCTTGTACTTTACTTTTCCGCCAGTGTGCTCGAACAAAATTAAAAACTTTTGCCCGACTGCACGGTCTTCGTTTTGTTGTTTGTTCAATGGCAGGACCTCTCACTCCCCCCAACCACCCCCACCCCTCCCCCTTCAACTTGACCGTCACTTCCGCCACTTAAGATGTGTTTTATTTTACCCAAGCTCCTCTTTTTTTTTGCCTTGCCTCAACTATTAGTGTTTAATTAGTTTTCAAGTGGACTTTTTATGGACTAAAGCCGAGCTAAGCTCAACACAGATTCCCGTTTTACTGAGCTGTCGCTGAATAATTAAAACTCATTTCGCATATCGGATGAATGTGAGTAGGTAATCCGCTTTAACCAACAAAGTGCGGGAAATACTATCCGAAGCTGTAATGCAAAACTTTTTAATGCTCATGAGAAATTATGACTAGCTGGGGCTATTATGTGTGAAAATGCGCCTTTATTTAGCATTTTTATTTAAATAAACAATTTGGGTTTACGCAAAAGATTTCTCCTCTTTACAATTACTGCAATCTGGGGAGGGATTTTCCGGCCGCAAAAATGTAAACAGAAACGAGTTTTAAGCGCTCAAACTTTCCCGGCGACCCGAAAAAAGCGAAGGAGGGATACTTTCAACTTCATAAAGGTTTCGCGAGTGGCCAAAGTAAGCAACAAAAACCAGACAACAAAAAGAAAAAGGGAAAAACGAAAAGGAAAGTACGAGGCGAAAAGCGTTGGGATAGCATATCAGATGTTTGCGTTGTTAATTAAAGAAAAACAAGCAAAAGTTTAATGGCGAATATTAGCGCCCCCCCGCTGGAATGACCCCCAGAAAAACCCCAGCCGCAACCTCAATATCCACCTGGCTTTGGTCCAAAGTTGCGGACATTGCGTAAATAGAAACAGCGCAAAAGGGGTGCAAAGGCACACACACAAAAAACTTGGCTCCTTATTTCCCTCACGCACGCAGGGCCAAAAAACAACGCAAAAAACGGGAAAGCGGGAAAACAGGAAAATGGCCGCGGGGGGGAAAGCTGTAAAGCAGCAAAATGAAAACTGCTCACAAATGTTCATTCCTCTCGTAAACTTAAAGAATTTCGAGCATTTAGCGCTGGCAGCCGACAAAAGTTTGTTGTTTCTCCTTGTTTTTATACCCTTGCAGAGGGTATTATAATTTTGGTCAAAAGTGTGCAACGCAGTGAAGGAGACATCTCCGACCCTATAAAGTATATATATTCTTGATCAGGATCACCTCCTGAGTTGATATAGCCATGTCCGTCTGTCCGTCTGTCCGTCTGTCCGTCTGTCCGTCTGTCTGTCCGTCTGTCTGTCCGTCTGTCTGTTTCTACGCGAACTAGTCTCTCAGTTTTAAAGATATCGAATTGAAACTTTGCACACACCCTTCTTTCCTTTGCACGCAGTATATAAGTCGGAACGGCCGGGATCGGCCGACTATATCCTATAGCTGCCATATAACTGAACGATCGGAAATGCCATAACTTTGGTGTTTGTAAAGTTAGGAAGTTGGGATTTTCTATGGGTTTTGTATTTGGCTAATCAATCCGACATGCCGAATTTCATAAGGATCGGCCGACTATATCCTATAGCTTCCATATAACTGATTGATCGGAAATGCCATAACTTTGGTGTTTGTAAAGTTAGAATGTTGGGATTTTCTATGGGTTTTATATTTGGCTAATCAATCCGACATGCCGAATTTCATAAGGATCGGCCGACTATATCCTATAGCTGCCATATAACTGATTGATCGGAAATGCCATAACTTTGGTGTTTGTAAAGTTAGGAAGTCGGCATTTTCTATGGGTGTTATATTTGGCCAGCCAATCCGACCTACCAAATTTCATAAGGATCGGCCGATTATATCCTATAGCTGCCATATAACTGAACGATTGGAAATGTCATAACTTTGGTGTTTTTAAAGTTAGGAAGTTGGGATTTTTTATGAGTATTAAGAATGCATCATATGAATAATTTTGGAGAATATAATTTACAGAGTATTCTGCAAGGGTATATCAACTTCGGCTCCGCCCGAAGTTAGCTTTCCTTTCTTGTTTTTTTCCAACGTTTTTTTCGAAAACGAGGAAACTTTTACGTTCGACCAGCAGGTGGAAGTACTCCGAGCTGTGGGCAGCCATCGTCGGCTAAATTAGCCAACCCAGCTCAGCAATTAAGCAGCAATTTTCAGCTGTAAACGCCAAAGGAGGAGCAGCGGGGGTGCGAGGGTGACTGAAACTTTTGGCAGGATTCCTTTTACCCGGCATTTCATAAGTCCATCAACAAATTCACACAATTGAAGTCAAGTCAAAGGTACAATTGCCCAAAAGCAAACGAAAAGCACACACGCAAGCACAATCAATGTATTGCTAACAGGGCGTATACGCAATGTGGGGGATGATGTCTACGGGCGGAATTTAAGAAAATCAATACGGCCCTGCGTTCCCTTTCATGTGTGTGTTTCCGCCACAAATAGCAGCCGGGGCAGATTCACCTGGTTTTGGGCCAAATCCAAAGCCGACTAAGCCATAATTTACAATCGCATTGACCCGGTTTTCTGGCCTACGGATTCATTAGCCAACTGTAAGTGCAACTCAGAGTGCCATAATTCAGCTCGCTTCGCCGCAAGTACAAATGCTTGTTTGACACACACAGTGTGTGTAATTTATCTTAATGCAAAAAGCGAGAGCATAGCGACGACCTTCCCAAGTATCAGATGCGGCAGCCCGAGATACAAAGATACAGCGATGCCATGATACCAGGATATAAATACACTTACACCCACACGAGCTGCGGTTTCTTGTTGCCTACAAACAAAAGCCAGACTATGTGTGTTTGTGTGTCTATCGACACCTCCAAGGATAGGGCTCCTCGACCGCAAAAGAGAGGAGCTAGGGATGCGCCTTCTTGAGGACTTTTCCGGCCAGCTCTCCTCACGTTTCACAGCCACTCGCAATTCGGCTCAAGTTAATGACGACAAATTAATTAAGCCAGAAATGTCTGCGCCACTAAATTTGATTATAAAAGTTTACGTTTTCCATTCCAATTTCCCTTCGACTCTTTGTGTGTGTGTTTGTGTGTGTGGCTTTTGACATAAATTCGTTAACATAATGATGCTATACTTGTACACATTAACCCCAAAAAAACAGGCATTAAAACTTTGGTCTTTTAACTTTTCTTTGGAACCGTTCGAATGACAATGGCAACTTGTTTATAGTTTTGGCTTAACAACTTACGGCAAGCCTATTAAAATTAATTTCATTTTATGTTAATGCCGAGTTTATTCAATTTATTTAAAACACATGTCGCTTGATTTAATTAACTTTACATGACCGTTGCGGCTTTTGTTGCAGGAAGCAGCAGCAGCACGCATGTTGCTGCTGTGACCGATGTTGCTGTTGCAGCTGCAACTGCTGCTGCTGCTGCTGCTGCTGAAGCTGACACATGACGGCGAAAACCCAATGGCCACAACACCAGACCTGACAATATCACGCAGCTATTGTTGTCGGCCCGTGTGTTTTTAATTAAACTCTTTAAACATTAACATAAGCGAGATTGGTGCTTAAAAAGCACGAATTATTGGGGACTTAAATGAAGAAATATCAGCAATGGAAACACAAGAAACATAATCTGATTTATATAACATGTAATGTGCAAACAGAAATATGATTTATTTTTATTATCATAACATGTTTCTTATTTATGTAAGTGCCATTGGCTCAAACAAAGCAGCATACCCTTCCTGTAAAGACAAATAATGAATTT